GAGGTAGTAACATGCGCATCAGGTGCCTACCCCCCAACTGGAGCTACTGGTGGCTCCTCTGTAGTAGCGTGGGTAGGTGCTCTGGCTGCACCACGTGCCTATCCCCGGCCTCTGCCCCGACGTCTCGCGGCTCTAGCAGGGGCGTGAGTGTCTGATCATCAGATCCAGTTGTGTATGTCCTCACCATCTATGAGAGAATAGAAATACAGAGATTTAAATTTTCGAAGTCAACAAATTCGCACGATAAGGAATCAAAGAAGTAAAGCTTTTCCTAACAGTTCCATAGCCTCCCAAAGATAAGTACAGACGTCTCCATACCGATCTGCGAGACTCTACTAAACTTGTTTGTGACTCATAACACCTATGAACCTAGAGCTCTGATACCAACTTGTCACGACCCCAATTTCCCTCTATAGGATATCGTAATGGCATCTAGTCTCTAAGACTAGGTAAGCCTAACATACATGCAGAATATAACTGAAAATAACGAATAAACTCTCAAATGCTAAACCATTATCATATAAGGAAAACTCTGTACCTAAACACAACACAACTTCCCAAAATCCGGCGAATACAAGTCATAAGCTCTATAATATGGCACTGAACATCCCTATACATCAGTATCTATAAAAGGATAATAAAAGAAAATAGAATGGATAGAGGGTGACTCCGAGGCTTGTGTACACCGGCAGGTATATCTTGAAGTCTCCGAAATTGGGCTCGTCTCACTAGTGCCTGGATTGGTAGGAGGTACCTGGATCTACACAAAAAGATGTGCAGAAGCGTAGCATGAGTACACCACAACGGTACCTAGTAAGTATCAAACCTAACCTCGGTAGAGTAGTGACAAGGTTAGGTCAAGGACTTATTGAAATAAATAAGAAATTGAACAAGTATATAACATTGTAATAATGATAACAATATAAATTAGACAATAGAGAAATACACTTAAAATAGTTGCACTGAAGTAAGGCAAATAATGCATCACAGAAGAAAATAAGTGTGATGACCCGATAGGTCATTTATAATTTTAACCCTCAATTCTGTGTTTCAAACCCTCGATTAGCTCCTTTTATCATTCATCGATTTGCGTACACAGCCCATGTCTTTTTCTAAAGGTTTTTATGAGGAAATTGATAAAATATGAAATCGTGCTTTAAAACACATTTTGAGAAAATAGACTCGGATCAGTATTTTGACGGTCTCGATGGGTCCTTATCGTGATTTGGGACTTGGGCATGTGCCCGGAATCAAATTTGGAAGTCCCTAGCTTGAATTATCGCCATTTGTTGAAAACTAGAAGTTTAAAGGTTTAAAGAAATCCCAAGTTTGGCCGTAGTTTGACTTTGTTGCTACCGGGTTTGGATTTTGGTTCTGAAACTTGGTATAAGTTCATTACAGTATTTATGACTTGTCTGCAAAATTTGGTACAAAACAGAGTTGATCTGACATGATTCGGACGTCTGGTTGTAAAATTGAAAGTTCTTAAGTTTCTTTCAAAATCTCATTCGTTTTGGTGTCTAATTCATAGTTCTAGGTGTAATTTTGGTATTTTGATCACGCGAGCGAGTTCGTAAGATATTTTTGGACATGAGTGCATGTTTGGTTTGGAGCCCTGAGGGCTCGGGTGAGTTTCGGACGCTTAGCGGAGTGTTGTCAAAAATGTTAGAGTTGCTGGTTTTCTGCATGCCTCTGATCTCGCATTTGCGAGCTTTAGTTCGCATTTTCAAAGAGGCCCTCAAGCTTTCAGTGCCGCAATTGCGAGGCTTTGTTCGCAATTGCGATTGCGACATCTGCAACTGATCAAATAGTTGGAAAACGGGATTTTTGAGTTCATTCTCTTATTTTTGAACCCTAGACTCGGTAGGAGACAACTTGGAGAGAGGATTTTTACCTACAAACCTTGGGTAAGTGATCCTAATCTATTTTTAATCATATTCCATCAACTTATCTTAGATTTTAACATCAAAATCATGTGAATCAAAGTAGAAATTTATGAAACTTTGTCAAGTTTTTAAAAAATAAGAAATTGAGTTTTGAGAGTCGATTTGGACTCGAATTTTGAAACTAATCGCATATATGAACTCGTGGGATCATGGGTAGATGAAATCTACCATTGTACCCGGGTTTCGACCGGGCAGGCCCCGGATTAACTTTTGTTGATTTTTTGGAAAAAGTATAAAAATCTTAACTTTATCTATTGCAATTGAATTCCCTAGCATTGTTTGATGTTATTGAGCCGAATTTGGCTAGATTTGAGCCGTGTGGATGCGGACTTTAAGGGAAAAGCTATTTTCGAGTTGTGAATTGGCCCATTTGAGATAAATGTCCTGCCTAACTTTGTATGGGGGAACTACCCCTTAGGATTGGTATTGCTGATTCAATTGTGCTAAGTGAAATCTGTGTACGCAAGGTGACGAGTGGGTACACGGGTTGTACGTAGTAGTTGACCGGTTTAGGCTACTTAGATTATTTCCATGCTTTAATTGAAATGCCATATTATGTCCTAGATTCTCATAGTTAAATCATCCTTAATTGTGTTAGACTATCCTTAAATGCTTTAGTTGAATTGTTTAGTAATTGTTCTACATCTTACTTGCTAAATTGCTCATATGCTTTAGTTGAACTTGTTGCCCCTTTATTGATACATGTTATCCCTTCGTTATTAATTATCACTGTTGAATTAATTTTTCGTGTTGGCCTTTATTTGTTGACTTCTGTTAATTGATACTCATTATTAAAGATTGTTTCCTTTATTGTGAGTTAGTCTTATCTAATTTTGTGGTTACACACTATTTTTTCTCATTGTTGAGTTATTTGATGTTAAGGTTGTGGAAGTTGTTAATACGTTGAGGCGATGTTGGTTATTGTTGAAACATCTATCTTGTTGAGCATTTTCCATCCATTATTGTTGTTGATATTCTCGTATACATTGTGTTGGAGCCATGGGCTATTGTTGTGGAAATATTGATATTGTCGTTATTGGCAAGTTGTGATATGTGGGCACTTATGGTGCGATATTGTTATTGTGATATGATATTGATGAGCATGCGCCGGTATATTGCTTGGGTTGATGTGCATGCGATTGTTTAAGGTGGGACTTATGTGTGTGTTGCTTGTAGAGGAACTACGTGAAGCCACGCAACGTCATAAGGTGGGCTAACGTGCGTGTAGCTATTTCGAAAAAACTATTTTCAAAACCTATTTTCAAATATAAGGCTCACGCGGCGGCATAAGGAAGGATTGTGATTAAAATTGAGAAATGTGAATACGAGGCGGTACCTCGGTTGTTATTCTTGATTATACAAGGCGGTACCTCGGTTTGATTTCATTATACACAAGGTGGTACCTCGTTGTGTTTCTTGCTGTTATTTCATGTTGCAAAGTGTCGTGGAAGGAATATTTCTTGTTGCTCCATTCGTTATCATTCTAGTAGTTGTAGTCTGTACATGATCTTTGTATCAATTTAGTTGTTTCTTTCATGCTATTTCTACTATTGATTTTCCCGATTTTAGATCATGCTATCATCTTGTTCCATATTAGTTGCTTTCTTACTTCCCATTTTATATCTGTATTTCATTTTATACTGTCTATTTCATATCCTAGTAGGTGTCTTGACTTGGCCTCGTCACCACTCTACTGAAGTTAGGCTTGATAATTATTGGGTACCGTTGTGGTATACTCATACTATATTTTTTGTGCAGATCCAGGTACCTCTGCTCGTGTCGGTAGATACTCGTGCCGGCAGATAGAGGGTCTTGCTAGCTGCTTTTACCGGATACTTCAAGGTATGCCTGCTCGATGTCCGCAGGCCTCGGAATCACTTTCCCTTATTTTTCCTTACTGTTGTATTTCCTTTTTGGACAGCGATGTTGTAGCACTCTAGTAGCATTCTATAGAGCTTATGACTCAGTTCCACCGGTTTTATGTTGTGAGATTCTATTTACAGACGATTTTATCCATTATTTAGTCGCTTTCAGTACTTCGTACTTATATATATATCCTGTGGTTGCTATTTGTGAGGCTTACCTAATCGTAGAGACTAGGTGCCATCACGACATCTTTCAGAAGGAATTTGGGATCATGACAACAAGGAATGACAAAACACAAGTGAAGTAATAGGAAAGTATCAACAAGAATCACTACCGAGGTACCGCCTCGTGGTCTCAAATTACAAAACATTTCACAATCTTTCCTTATACCATCGCGGGAGCCTTGCATTTAGTTTTGAAAATCATTTTTCCCGAAATAGCTTCCCCCGTTTTAGCCCACCTTATCACACCGCGTTGCTTCAAGTAGTTCCCCAACTAGCAACACGCGTATCAAGCCCACCTTATCTCACCGCATGCGTTTCAACTCCAAACCTTATACCACCGCATGCGTATCAATATCACAATGTATCACAAATCGCACCTAAAGTGCCCAATATCTCAACTTGCCAAAGAAATCAACAATAACAGTATTTTCACAATAAATAGCCAATGGCTCAACCACAATGTACTCAAGAGTCTCCACAGTAACAACCGGAAGTGAATAACTCAACAAGAATAGTATTTCACAACTTAATACTTTGCCACGATGTGAATCACGACCTTTGTAACTCAATACCAATTTCAACAACAAAATATTCCAAGAATAACAACTTCAGGTAAAGAATTCAAAGGTTAAATAATGAATAAGGAATAGAGGAAACAAAAACTTCGACTAAACATGTAGAACAATTACCAAATAAGAGATAAGACAAGTAGAGCATGTGAAGATAGAATAATGATAATGGATATAACAAGTTACGGTGACCTATCACCCTTCCCGCCCTTACCCATTTTGTCATATAGCATTCACCTATATTATATATTTTCCAAGAAAAACATTTCCTTCTTACCAAACACACCCTAATTTGTATCAGCAATCAGGTGATCACGTTGATTCAATAAACTAACACAATCCTAAAGCACACAAGTATATAGTTCCCTTATTTTACGAAGAAAAGACACCAAGTATATCATAATCAAGCATAAAAATGCTTATTAAGTTTTGTTAGGGCAACATATGCCTCTTGGGAAAAGGATACATATAAAAAAAAGTCAGTGGTGCAATACTGACACAAGCAGAAAGACAATAACAAGATAATCATGTGCCCAGGGCCAGCACCAGTCTTCCAGCTTTTCAGGAAGAAAAATCAGAAGCCAGAAACTTCATACCTCTCCATAAGCTTTACCTCGTTTTAAAGATAAGTGACCTTAGCCCCAAAGATTTTGGTTAAAGAAAATAAAACTGGGGCTGCATGAGGAAGTAGAATCAAAATTCCCCATGCCTGTGAAATAACCATGATGGAGGAACAACATAACATAAAAGGAAAAGAAAATACTTATCCCTGACAAAACAAAATTCATATCCCAACAAAATCAAGCTGCCAGCTTAAATGCCAGTATAATTCTTTTCCCCATTCTGTTCTCGTTTATTGTGTGTCTATTTCCTGATACGTCATTGCCATCGGCAACAGTAATGACTATACTCATTGATTGCTTGAAGCACAATAGCTACCAACCCCTGGGCTTCACTCCACCACAGAACAGTAAACTCTTTTACTTGGATTTTCAACTGGCATTGGCTGCACATGCTGAGCACCAGCTTGTCCGCCCATTTCGTTGCCAAACCGCTCAGATGGAGTACTTAATTCAACAGATGATGATCTACTATGATATGCTTCGGCAGTTCCACGTCTTGTAGTCTTATCATCAAAGGTAACACGTTGGAGATTTTCTGCTAGTAAATCAGGACTATACTTTTGTGGAGATTGAGGACCTGACATGGTTGAATTCTGAACTGATGGTGGTATGAGCCAACGATTCCAGTCATTTCTCCGCCTTAACTTTTCGCCCTACGACGCAACGAAGAAAACTTTTAAAACCCTAACAGTTAAGAAGCAAATACTACCTAAGTACTTTCTAATTTTAGTACAACCACTATACTAATATTCTTAAAAGCATTTTCCTAGTTCTGAAGCATTAAACACCTAAATAGGCCCATGCAAGAGGTACCCAAGTATTTTCATGGAAAAAAATAAGTTTAACCGGAAAATTGCTTAACTCTGTTTTTATTTCTTTTTTGTGTGTGATAACCGAGAAATCCCTGAGGGGCAATGGCGCACATGTTCAAAACTCGGTGGTTTAAGCAAATTCCTATTTCTGAAGCACTAAATATCTCAATCAGCCTAGGCATCAGCAGAAAGACTCTTTATATTATTCAAACAGCACCTGTGAACAAGGATGATTTACAAACCAATATTTTGTTTCTAGCAGGACCTATTCCGAAGAATGTGGTGGACTTTGTATAAGGAAGTTGAATACTTCAAAACCATTCACAAGGGTAACAGGTACTAGGTCTACTTAAGATTCCATGTTCACATCTCTAAGGTCTTTAATAAGTGCTCATTGATGCATTTAAGTTTCCATTCTTTTAGAACACAGGCACTTTGCCAAAAACTAAAATATTACCTTAATTCCTTTTATGTTTGCCAAAGAAAGTGGAAACTAAAGGTCTATAAAGACCACAAACCATAGAAGGGATACCTGCACTTCTACAGCAGTAGAGGACCTCATAACGTCCAGTATCAGTTGTATATTATCTGTCAGCTGCATTACCTGCAAAAATGGCTGAAAATAAGCTTTTTTACAGCAAACAAAGTTACCGCAAAGAGTGGTTAAGGCACGCATGTAAGTGGAGGCCACACTAAGATAAAATGAAGAAACATGGATCTGAAAGGATATCCAAAGACTTTACCCTCCGCCTTCACCTCAACCCAAAAGATTAATCATCCACCTTATACCACGTCAGTCGCAGCAATAAGGACATAGAGAAGTGAGAACTATCACAAACACATGATTATACATATAAAACAGCAGATTGAACTAAAACCATACAGTCAAGTGCTAACTCCCCAAAATGTTGAACAGATTAGAATCCTTTATAGTATTCTTAGAATTTTTAAGTATTTAGTGCACAAGCATGTCAGAAATTTGAGTTAGTGTTATCTCTCACTATCAATAGTTGTGTCTTGTATTCCATTTTCGTCAAGTCATCAATACAATATACATCTCCTCACTTCTCTTATTTTCTGATTTTCTGACATATTTAGACAACCCTTTGTATGATTCTCAGATGTCGATATCTTATACTGATATTTTAATTTATACTCCCTGGGCAACAAAAGTTCAAGAAAAACAGGGCCACCCATAACCATCAAGAAATGATTGTGACTGTTAGATCACCTTGTAGCTGAGAACAACAACATACCCAGTATAATCCCACATAGTGGGGTCTGCGGAGGGTAGTGTATACGCAGACCTTACCCCTACTTTGTGGAGATAGAGAGGTTGTTTCCAAAAGACCTCGTCTCAGGAAAGCATAAGCATCACATTAATGAAAAGAAAAAGAAAAGAAAAGAAAAACAAGAAGTGACAACACCGAGAAAACATGTAAAAGCAGCATAAATAACAAGAAAATAGTAAGATGACCGAATGCAAGAAATGACAGGTAGTGACCTTGTAGCTGAGAGCATCAACAAATTGCACTCCATAACCATTCCATCAAAAAGGCAGTCACTCAACATTGCCCAGTTTGTAACATAAAATGTAGAACATTGGTGAAACCAGGAATTTCATATGCAAAGAGTCATTTTTTTTTTTGCTGACATGACTTTCTACTCATAGATAGTTTTCAATGTGGTATAACTTAAACTCGAAACTATTGTGAGCAGATATAAATACCATCCGAAATTTCACCCACTTTCTAGTTAAATCCTTTGAAGCAACTTTCGTATCTTCTCCTTCCAAAAAGATAAGGTAAAGAATTAAACTTCCAATTTGAATATTCATTCAATGAATTAACTCCTTCACAAAATCACAGCTCTCTTATCTTCTCCTACCAAACATGTTTAGGGAAGATTAGTGTTTTTGTAAGAAATAGAAGACTCCTTTTAATGCATTTATATTTACTACTAGATCATTATTTCAACTGATGACTTTATTTGATAAGTATTTCAACTCATGACTTGCCTCAATCAGGTAGTAATTTCAAATCAGAGTCTCACTCTCTTTTATAGCATCAAATCATACCCTTCTAAAGTTTATATTGCTCATTATCAGCACCTTTGTCTCCTCTTTCTCCCCGTGCTTTTAAAAGCTCAAAAAAGGTGAAAAAGCGATGAGGTGCATGGAGAGAAGCTCACTATTTAAGAAAAACTATTAAGTATCAAACATCTAAGAGATTAGTACAATAAAAATAATATGGAATTAAGAATACTACTTTCGACATCCATTGTACAATAATGATGATCTTAATCCAACTCCTCAAAGGAGAGATTCCCAAAAAAAAAAAAAAAGACCGAAATCACTTTGTACGCCACTGTTTGAAGCAAACTTCTCTAAAGCATGACTTTACACCTGAAGCAACAACCCTTTGCTTCACATTGCTTCATTGTTTCATAGTTTTTAATAGCACTACTTCCACCTAATTGTTAGCCTTCAATAAATTTAACTCATCTTCAAGAAAACCTGCCTCTGCGTACCTCCAATTTACTAATATTGTCTTCCTTTGCTTTGCATCTTTCTTCTGGATTTCATGGTGTTCCTATTTATCCTATGATTGTTGTTGTGATACTAATATTGTCTCCTTTTTGTCATTTTGTCTTTTTATTTTTTTGAGCTAAGGGTCTTTCGGAAACAGCCTCTCTACTCCTTCGGGTAGGGGTAAGGTCTGCGTACACACTACCCTTCCCAGACCCCATTAGTGGGATTTTACTGGGTTGTTGTTGTTTGTTGTCTTGCATAAAGGTGGCAAGTGGGCCAGTCCAGGCCCGGGACCGGACCGGGACCGCGGGCCAGGACCATTTGGCCCGGTTTTTGTGGGCCTGGGCCGGTCTTGTGGGCCAGTCCTATGATTTGGGCCCGCCAGGCCCGGAACCATTTAGCCCGCCAGGGCCCGGGACCAGACCGGTCCCTTAGCGGGCCAAACGGTCCCAACGGCTATTTTTAAAAATAAAAAAAAAATATAGCCGTTGGGCTATCAAAAATAGCCGTTGGCTATTTAAAAAATAGCCAGTTAACCCCCCCAACTTTGTTTTAATCCCAAACTTTTTATAATTACACTTTTTCCCTATTTTCAACTATAAATACTCCATCATTCTTTCATTTTTTTACAAAATCATCAATCTATCACAATCTCTCTCTAATTTTCTTCTATAATTGCTACTATTGCTTACTTTATTGTTACAATTTGTGGAACAATTGTGAACGATAATCAATTTTCAATAAGTTGTTCGTCAATTCGGTAAACTTGTTGTGCTCATTCTATAGGGGATGAAGACTAAGAAAGATATTACCATATTTTTTAATGCTATAATAAAATTACAAGGCATATCTCTTTACAATATTTTTGTCTTTAGACTTAAATATTATTTTTAACATCCTTTTATCTCTAATTTCTATTTAATTTTTTTAAAAAATCTATTTGGCCCACTTAGCCCATTTAGCCCGCAGGTCGGGACCGTTTAGCCCGGGACCAAACGGTCCCGGTCCCGGACCGGTCCCTGCAAAAAGACTGTTTAGCCCGGGACCGTTTAGCCCGTTTAATTTGGGACCGGTCCGGGACTGTTTGGACCGGCCCACTTAGCCCGTTTAGGCCCGGAACCGGCCCACTTGCCACCCTTATACTAGGGTAGTAATTACATAATATTGTAATTACAACGACCTGTCTGTTTGTCATAACGTAATTACAGTGTAATTACAAGCGTACTGTTTAGTTATACAGTTAGATTAAATTTTGAATGAAGTATTTAATTAAAATTGAAAGATAGGATATTTAACTAATTTAAATAGAAAGATAGTAAATTCAATTCTTTTGAATTTGAACGGAAAGAAAGTTAAATTTGAATTGATTGATTAATTAATTAAGAAGGCTAATCAAACATAAATGTTCCAATTCAAACGAGAGGCCCAATGATTGAGGCAGATTGTTCTAAATAATGAGAAGAGTTTTTAAAATTTGAGTTAAAACAAAAAAACAACTGAAAAAAGAAAAAAAATACTTCGTTACGAGAAAGAAGATTAAAAATTCTAAGTTTGAACCCATAATCACCGAATTGTTGGATCAAAACTTAACTTTCATAACTACCTTAGGTGATCAATAGTGTTCACTTCTCTGTGTGCCCTTAAGACGTTAATTCAATAGATTTAAGTATGATAAATATATATGAAATTAGGATTTATATTATATTAGTAGTGATAACAGAAGAATGAAAATACAAATTGAAGTAGCATCTTATGTGGTAATTAATAAGTGAAAATTGCCTTGGTGATAGAGCACTTTCTTCACCGACTAGTAGGGGTGTCAATGGATATTTAAAAACGACTAAATCGACCGAATTGTAGCGCATCGAATCGATTTTTAGGTTTCTTTTAATAAAACTATAAGTTTTTATATAAATCTATAACCATACCGATAATTAGGGTAAGTTTTTTATTTTATGAAAATAAACCGAAAAAATACCGAACCGTACCGAATAAATTTACACACGGAAAATATATTTATATATTAAGTTTAAAAATAATAAAGCATTAAATTTTTCCTTTGGCCTTTGGAATGATGAAAACGGTTACAAGTCAACAAGTAATTAAACTCAAAATGTTAATTCACAAACCTATTATGTTACTCCTACTATTTTCAACATATTCACTAGCAAGATACAAAGTATTCTAGCGATTATACTGCAAACTACAATGTATTGAATATGTTTTGTTTCGTATGATTTAGATTTATATTTTTGAATATTTAATCTTCTATAGACTTTATTCTTGAGTACCGACTTGGTTAATATCTTTCCACTCGTGTGATTTATATTTTCTTTGTCTCTGCTTAGTTTCTTTTACGTTGCAGTAGAATAGTTAATGGATCTATACTTCGACTATCTTTCATATTTTCTTAATTCATCACTTTTTAAACAGTAAAAATATGTGGACAAATTTGCTAAGTCCTATAAAAGTATGTATGTTATTGTATACTTCTACTAGTGACTTTTATATAATATTTTAAAAAAATACCGAAAATTAACCGAACTGTACCAATACCGAAGAGAAACCAACATGATTAGGACGGTTTCGAAAAGTCTAATTTTGGTTATACATAATATAACAACCAAAAAATTAGTATGGTATAAATTTTATAAAATAACCGGCCGAACCGAACCATTGACACCCCTACCAACCAGTAAACTCAATTTCAAATCAATCTATATTTATATTTACATCTATTAAAAAAATAAAATTTGCATTGTGGTTAAGTTAAGTAGACGCATGCTACTATAAAGTCATTTGACAATTTAGGATAATATTTATAATAATATTTAATCTAATTTAAAAACCGGAAGATAATTTTTTTAGTATAAATGGAAAGATAGTAAATAAGATTCTTTTGAATCTGAATGGAAAGAAAGATAATATTTTTATAATGATATAGCCAACTATCGTATCTTAACTAATAAGGTTTTGACCAAAAAAAATTAAATTGAAAGATAGAAATAACACCCCATCTTAACTAATTATAAAGATATATATGGAGGTATTATCAGTACAAGTATCACTACTCCATCCAGCTAAAATATAAAATAAAGAATACTAAAAAATATTTCTAAAAACTTTAAATATTAATCTGAGTAGTTGAATAAAAAAGTAATGAATAATAATTTTTATTACAAGAAAAAAAATTAAATTCATCTGTTAACGGGAATTGTGGATAATAATATGAACAACTCTAAGTTAGGGGTAATGCAATAACATGAACAAGGAATCAAATAAAGAAGATAAAATATGTAAATAAACAATTTCAATAGTAGGGTTATATCGAAGAATAAGACTTATTTGATATTTGACAAGAGAAAGTTTTTAAATAATAATGAGATAAGTAATACTATATGGATAAGATACACATATTTAAAACTGTTATAATAGATAAAACTAAAAAAATATAGACAATTGATATAATTCCAGAAAATAAAATAAAAAATAAAAAATATAATTTAAATTATTATATAGTTAATTTAAATGGAAATTTAAAGTCAAACTTTTGTATGAATGAAATAATTATACAAAATTTTATAGTAGAGGAAATAATATAGAAAGAGATGGAGTATAGAGATAGTGTGAGTAAATTGATACTTTGAATTAATTTAAAAATAAATTTATATCTCCTGCTCAATTAACATTTCAGTTTTGAGACTCAAGATATGTGACA